GCCGGGTTTTGAGAGAATTTGACGTTGACAAGAATATTGTGTTTAAAGGCTAGTTTTGTCAAAGTGTGGATAATTCTTGAGCTGGTTTCAAGGACAAAAGGTAAACTGCAGTGTATTGTTATATTGTTGGGTTTGTTAGTATCAATTTTGTTCGTGAGTTGAGTTTTGTTGTGAGGAATGTTGGAGAATTTTTCAACAATAGCTGGTGGAAATTTATTGGTGTGAATGAAGGAATGCGTTATGTAGTTGATTTCGTCATTTATGTAGTCAGCTGAACAGTCTTGTGTGGTGTCGTGAGCGGAATTCCAGGGGATGTAGAGGCGGGTGTGCGTGTTTTTATGGTGAATTTTGGTTTGAAACTGTGTATCCGATCTATAATGTTGAGGATAAGAAAAGATAACTGTTTTCGTGTTCTATGGTACATTTGATGTTGGGATGAATGGAATTTATGTGTTCAAAAAAAGTTAGTGTGTGATCTGTAGAAGTGAAACCAGCAAAAGTGTCATTGACATATCAGTACCAGTATAGTGGGGGATGAAGCGCAGAAATTAAGGCTGTGTTTCGATCAAGGTCATGAATATATTGGCAAGAATGGGTGAAACAGGATTTCCCATACTTAAACCATCTATTTGAAGGAAATGTTTGTTGTTGAAAATGAAGTTGGTTTTAGTTGTTGTAAATTCCAAGAGAGAAGCAAAAAGTGTGCTGAGGATTGTTAATATTTTTGTTTGTTGACTTTTGAATAAAGCTGGTCAAGGACTACTTTCGCTAAAGTCCCTAATTTGAAGATGCTAGACTAGAGGCCAGGCAGCCCATACAATGTAGCTCGCGAGCTACTTTAATCGAATAGCGAGGCCGTCACTCATAACACACCCACACCCCCTCCATCGGTTGTTCTTTAGTTAATAGTCAAATGGATCTCCATCGGTTGTTCTTTAGTTGATGGTCATATGGACCTCTATCGTTTGTTCTTTAGTTGATGGTCATATGGACCTCTATCGTTTGTTCTTTAGTTAATGGTCATATGGACCTCTATCGTTTGTTCTTTAGTTGATGGTCATATGGACCTCTATCGGTTGTTCTTTAGTTAATGGTCATATGGACCTCTATCGTTTGTTCTTTAGTTGATGGTCATATTGACCTCTATCGGTTGTTCTTTAGTTGATGGTCATATGGACCTCCATCGGTTGTTCTTTAGTTGATGGTCATATGGACCTCCATCGGTTCTTCTTTAGTTAATAGTCATTTTGCCTCCTGTATTAAAATGGTACAGTAAAACCTATAAAAAAAAATAATGCTGTAACAAAAATTTGAGTCATACTGTTATTTTAAATACACTTAAATATTCCACAAATGACACATCTTGTATTAGTCAATTTTATTTCATAAAGAATTCTTCTTCATAATGATATTGTAGACATTTAAAATAGTACGGATGTTGACGAATATGTACGATTTTCTGATTTTCTCTTAACAACGCTGACTTATTTCACTAAAGTCCTTTGTTCTGAAATTTTAAAGTAGAAATAATGTTGATAAAAATCTTCATCATCAATTAAATACACTCGATACAAAATCGCTCTTAATTGTAGGTTATACTAACCATATAGTTCAAGTTTCTACGTGAACGACAAATATAAAATGTTTTATTAAGATATGTCAAATTACAAACCTTATCCTACAAACAATTGATTCTATCCTTATTCTGATCTTGGCCTTATAATCCATTTTACAATCCATTCTTTAACTAAATATTATAGGTAAATTGAATTACAAATAAATATAAGAAGTACATTTCTTTGAACACTAGGTGGCAATAATGAAAAAAGGAACAAATCTCTTAATTCAATACAGCATCAAACATTCATTAAATGATAAGAATAACAATTCAACAAATACAGTATCAAACTTACATAGAGATAGTAAAACAACATGACATTTCAACAATTACAGTATCAAACTTACATAGAGATAGTAAAACAACATGACATTCCAACAATTACAGTATCAAACTTACATAGAGATAGTAAAACAACATGA